ATCTCAAAAAAGGCTTTTGATACTGTTAACCATGAAATTTTGTTAGCTAAACTTGAAAATTATGGTATTAGAGGTGTAATAAACTCCTGGTTCAGATCATACCTGACTGATCGGAAGCAAACTACGGAAGTTAATAATGTTGTGTCTGAGGCTGAAACGACCTTGTGCGGCGTGCCACAAGGCTCAGTCCTCGGACCACTCTTATTCCTACTGTACATCAATGATATTTACAAGTCCTCTTCGTTATTTGCCTTTTATCTATTTGCTGACGATACTAGTATAATACTTGCAAATAACAACCTAAAGGAACTCGAAACACTTGTTAATCGCGAGCTTGGCAACGTCAACGAATGGCTAAAGGCCAACAAACTGTCCTTGAACATAAAAAAATCAAATTTTGTAATCTTTCGTCCCCGGCAAAAGAATATGCCCTTCATACCTAGGATTAGAATTTTTGACTCCGTGACTAACACCTACGCAAACCTTGAAATGAAAGATTATGTAAAATACCTTGGCTTAATGATTGATTCAAATCTTTCATGGAAATACCACATCGAATCTGTCTGTCACAAAATCAGCAAGTCGATAGGAATTATAGCTAAAATTCGACATTATGTCCCGCGTCGTGTTTTACTTTCAGTTTACAACTCATTAATTGTCCCTTACTTGACTTATGGTATTTGTGGTTGGGGAAATTGTGCCTTGACATTTCAACGAAAGATCGTAACTCTACAAAAACGGGCCTTACGTCTCATTTACTTCAGTAAGTCTAAGGAACACGCCGTACCCTTCTTTCTCAAATCAAATTGCCTTCCCCTGCCTAGCATATTTTTCAGAGATTGTAGCTATTTATTGTATGATATCAACAGACAGACAGCACCAGTTAGTATTCTCAATCAGTTCGTTAAAACAAGTCAGATTCATAACTACAGAGCAAGATCTGTCTCTAGCGACTCGTTTTATGTTAAGTTCTCTAGAACCGATAAAATGTATGCCTTTTTCACGAGAATCGGTGCCCAAATTTGGAACTCTATTCCGTATTCGATTAAAATACTTAAACGTTCGTCCTTTCGTAAAAAAATAAAGGAATTATTACTAAATTTTTTGCGGTCAGAAGATGATTATGTCGAAGTCTCCCGTCTTATTAAGTTATTTAATACTTTAGTTAACCTCTCTTCGTAATCGTTATGTACATGCCTTGTTTTTTGTTTTTTGTTTTATGTTAGTTTAAACTCTATTTACTGTATTGTAGTGTCTTCACTGTTATTTAGTCCATCTATATATAATTCTTGTTTTGTAATATGTCTTCAGCTCCCCCCGCCTCGATTAGTTCATAAGCTATTTGCGGGTGGGAAAGTAATGTAATTAGTTATTTTCCAATTTTCAATAAAATTTGTTGTTGTTGTTTGTTGTTGTTACATGTTGCAGTTAATTATTAATTTCAGATAATTTTTGTTTTTCCTTTGTTTCAAATTCATTAGCATATATTACCATACCCAGAAACAATGGAAAAATAAAAATTATCTGAGATGAAGAATTAATTACAACTTAATTTATATACACTGTACATTGTACTTCAATCAGAAATAATGGACAATAGGCTCATGAACATCTTAAGTGAAGTTCATAAGCGTACGGGCCAGGGAGGTGGGGTGTTGGGGGTGCTGTAGCACAGAGTAACTCTATCAAATTTTTTGTGTGCAGCAAGAGAAATTTGGGCAAAGTCAGGTTTTAAAGAAGTTTCCAAATCTTTTTATTATTTCGAAGAGATAGATATTTTCCATTTTAAATCCAGGTAAATTCACGCGAGACAGTGGTTGCCTAGCACGTGATGAGTTTCTGTTTATTAGTGAAGGGTATCATGTTGATTTACATATTTGTAGTTTTTTATTGTTGGGCACTGTGCTGCACTGCACTAGCTGTTGTGGGGTGTTTCCAGTCTTGAATTGATTAGAATCAACTTTGGCATAACTTTCTAGAATCATCTCCGCTCGACATAACCATTCAGAACCAATGCTAGTGTCGGAGTGACCAAAGTTTCAACAGCGTATGGCAGATAGCATCAGCAATGGGTCTGAAAATGAAGAAGTGGCTGACCAAATTATGCTCAGTTTGAATTACGAGAAGCTAGGACACTTAGGCAAACGCCATCGCTCTGCCTTCAAGCCCTTGTAGGTGAACACGCGCAAAGACAAATGCAGCTAACACCAGAATCGCACCACCGTATAGCCTGCATCACAGACGTCATTAACCTCCGTTAGTAAGGTCTGAGAAGGGCGGATATCCTTGTTCTGGCCCCCAACGGAGTGGACGAATTTCCGTAAGTGCGTTTCAAATTTCCTTTCATCCTGATTGGCAAATCGACAGTGGCTTTTTTAAAAGGCCAATCATGGCACATACTCAAATCCTGGTACACAAGGGCAGGCCCAGAACAAGGATTTCGGCTCTGTTTCGTAGACGAACGGAACCAGAGTTTAGTTTTGCCTGTGGCGCAGGCTTACCACCGTACTATGCATGACTATGCGTCCATCGACGAGGTGCTGTCCGAGCTTGAGCTCAGGTTTAGCGGAAATTACCAGGAAATACTCTGTGCGTTGGGAAACTTCTGTCACAATGAAACACCTGATAAAGAAAGCTTGAGTTCTCCTGCATTGCTAAATTGTACCAAATTGACGGCAAGATTTTCGAAGCCGAGCAGACAATGTACACGAGGTTTCGTCTTGTGCGCGGATTAAGCTACATGACTGTTCCAGAAATGCTGGAGGCAGTGCACGAGAATGATCTATTTTTCTAGTGTTTTCTAATGTGGTAGTTATATCCTTAGAGTGATACCTGCTACCTTAGGTTCTGCAGAACGATAATTCAGTGCGTTGCGCAGATTGAAAACGTATCTCCGCAGCACCATAGGCAACAATGTCTCAGTAACATCGCATTTATTAATATTGAAGGGGCATATGCCAACTCTTTTGTCAACAATGATACAAATGTATGGATCGTATCATTGATATCTTCGGCCATCAAAATGGCAAAGACAGCTATTTCTTTTAACGTGTTTTATGAGCTCATATGATAGATTCATATGTAAGAATACTTTTTCTTCATATGTAGGCCTATGTTGTTGCATTGACTGTTTCGTAAAAATTTGAGCAACGTGCGAGAATTTTGGGGGCAAATAGTTTACCCCCCCCTCCTGGCAAAAAATTGCCCGTACGCCTATGATGAAGTTTTATGAAATGGGGATCAGTAAGCCCCAGGTCATGTTGGTAGAAACCACACAAATACAGCACAATGCAAATCCCAGTGCCACTTTTCCTATCTATTTGCCTGTCAACTGTACAGATTAGTGACAGCCATAAAAGTACATTATATCTTTTTTTATGTACAGTAGTTGCATTTTCTACACGCGACCAGTTGCAATGTAATTAAATCAGAGAAACATGATTAAAGCAGGTTTGGTCATCCATAGATATTTCAAAATCTTACAACTGATCATGAGGACACATCCTGTGAGCAGACCATGTCCTCGATTTGTCTTCTTGAGTGAGGAGAAGAAAAGGAGGCTTAGCCTGAATCATGTCAAGCCCTCTGAAGCCTGATTTTCAGGACGAGTCAATCTTGTTCTCTATTGTCAAACTGGGTTTCTGAAAGTGAGCCTCTATAACTGAGCCCACTGTATTAAGGACACGGCTATTAAAATGGCTTCAAAATGGTATCCCAGCAACAAGCAGCACTTGCTCAGCTGTTACATGTACTTGATTCATGCACAGTCTTTTTTGAGTACCCCAAAATCAAGCAAATGAATGAAAGGCTCTGTTTGCAGGGTGCTGATCATGAGAACAGTGAGATGTCTCTCAACATTAACAAAATTATGGAACGGGAGCATATCAAGCAAGTCCAAATGTGAAATCCAGTGCACCACCAACTTTGCCTTAATCACACATGTATACGAGCATTTTAAAAATAACTATACTGAAAGAAACCCTTAAATCAGTGGTTATGAGGAATGTCCCCCTTCTTGCAACGTGTTGATTCTTTTCCATACTACATGTAATTATAGTATGTATTTGAAAAACAAAAATGTTACAAATTAAAATCTTTATCACCCAAACCTGCTTTTAGCATGAGTACATGTCATACATGGCAAAAAAGACGCAGAAAAGACAGACAACAATAATATCTCTTAGTGACAGTAATCAGCAAGAACTGGAGAACATCAAAAAACAAAGAGAACAGATGTTAAAGGAATATCAAGACAAGAAACAAGGTAAAGGCTTATTTTACATAAGCTCAAAAAAATATATAAGTAATAATATCAAACTCCACAAACTGGCCGATCAGTGAGATTACGCAATTACCACTGCGACGATCATATCTTCATATAAATAAACCAATCATTGTTAAACAGACTGTGGTGAAGCCTCACTCGATTTGGTCAAACCGTCATTATCTCAAAATTTTGCATTGTCATGTTGAGACCATCTCAACAAAGAAATAAATGGTCAATGAGTTACTAGCCTGCACCGCAGACGAAACTAACCTCTGATCTGGTTAAGTGCATCTTCAAAACAGCGCCGACATGCTTGTTGTGGGTCCCCCAGCTGTGAACCAAGATTTGAGTATGCACCAGGATTGGCCTGTTAAAAAAGCCATTGTCGATTTGCCAATCAGGTTGAAAAGAAATTCCAAAAGCACTCAGAACAAGGGTCTCGGCGCTGCTTCGCTAGCCTGAGTATCAGGCCTTCCTAAGGGGCTAGGGGAGAGGAGATTTTAGATGGGGCGGGGGGGGGAGAAAGCTCTCTCCCTTTTTCGCTTCCATCTTTCCCCTTTTCCCCCCAGAAACGCCTGATATTCAGGCTACTGCTTCGCAGAAGTTGCAAACGGGGGTTAAATTAAGTCAACAACGCAGGCTAATGAGTTACATGTATGTGACCAATGAACTTAATGTTGACAAGAATTTAACAAACCCTAAAAGGTTGAACTTACGCTTACCCATAACATGGTAATGGGTCTTAACATGGTAATATCGTTCAAACCACTTGACTACTGGCTTTATGTTTAAGCATCTTGTTAGATGTGGGAGAGCCGCACAATATTTGGGTGGATCCAGTGATTTTGTTACAAATAGTTATGGTGAGTCCTGGGACTCATTTTGTGAAAAATCATGGGTCCAAATCCATAACCAATGAGTCCCAGTTCAAAAAAACAAGGAGTCGTGTTTGGGTCTTTATAGCTGTTTGTGTAACCGGACAGTTCATCTGGAGGCAGTTCTCTGAAATTAAAATATAGTCCTTCTATACGTTTAAAGTACAAAAAACGTTTAAAGTACAAAAAAGACCAATAAAATAAATATGCATCTTTAAATAACAGCCACAGCAATCACACGAACAGGATATTCTACTAAAAAATCTTCAAATCGATCGATCCTTCTTTGTGTCCTACGGGACACATGCAATGAATTATTTTGCGTCTTTCAAGGGGATTTTTATGCATCAGGGACCCAGGACGCAGAGGTAACAAAATCATAGTGGATCACTGAGCCAAGGCTAAAAACACCCGCAGTTAAATCAACCAAGAAGCACTAAGTTCTTTGTGTGCCTTTCGTCTTATCCAACCTTTGTAGGTTTTGCTTGTTTTATACGTCTTTGACTGATCCAGAGAATCCTATTCTTTAGCCTTAAAGCAATTGCTGCTTGAAAAGGAGGCTGACCTTGCTCTGACAAACAGTGAACTCGCAGAATTGGAAGAGTATCAGGTAGGCAAAATACACATTAACTTTGTCTGATGCTTTATAACTTGGGATATCTTATGTAAAATAACTAAGACTGAGTTCCATGTAAGTACAGTTAGGGCTGTCAATAAGAGCCGGTAGCCGGCCAAAACCGTCGGCTAGTTAGCCATCTTTCGCCGGCTTATACTTTCTATAGTACCATAACTGCTTACAAAAAATATGCAGCATCGAATAAAATTGTAAAGCATCCGTTCCTAGTTTTGAATGACATTGAACGCATATTTAAACAGGTTTAGATTTCTGAAACGTTCGAACCGTACGATGTCGTGAAACGCCTGGGACATTTCGACGGCACAGTTTTCAGTCTTGCTTGTATTGTGACGAAATAACATGGCGTCCGCGGTGGAAAATAACTCTTGAAAACCCCTGGAAATGGCATTTCCGAGACTTTAAATTTGAAAATGTCCCTTGATGATTCGGCCCTCAAGAACTTGTGCCTTTGGTGCGAGTTCCAAAGCCGCCTACTTTTCATTATCAGTCTGCTACTTAAAACCTTTTCGACAGCCCTGAGTAAAGAACAGACCATTCAGGTCCATTTCCTCGTTGCCCCAAGTCTCTGTCTCAAAGCGAGGCTAAGCGCAAAGCCATTGATTTGAAAATGATTTTTCCTTCTCGTATGAAGAAACCTCAAAAGAAGAAAGGTTACGCACTTAGCCTTGTTTTGAAAGTGAGAGTTTTTTGGAACTTGGAAATGGCCTACATATTGGCCTACACTGACTGTATTCTCAACACACCCCTCTTCCATCTGAAAGTTAAACGAATTAGCTTCTCAGTTTTGATCATCAATGTATTCAACCCTCGCAGACAAGCTTTATCTCTTATCTCTGAGTCAGTTTTGTGCCTTTGTACATGTTGTGTGACTGCTCATTTCACAATAAACTTTTTGATACATGTTTGCTTGTCAGACTCTCCAGCGTGACCAGAAGGCAGAGATTGCACGGCTAGAGCAAGAGGTTCACACAATGCGAGGAAAGCATTCTGAGGCAATCCAGAAACTGAAGTCTCAGTTCCTAAGAGAGAAAAGAACTTATCAAAAGGAATCTGATGAAAAGATACAGGAAATGGCTCAACAGGCCTCACAGGCGAGTACTGGTGCAAACTCTTAAACCGCTGTACGCTTGTAGTACAACGGGTTGAAACATAAAACTGCCCCTGAAATAAAGATAGGAAATATACAAATGAAGGAAACGTTTTTCTTTTTAGCCGTAAGGTTTGAGTGACCTTTATCTCAGTGGTTTGGTCGTTCAACCAGTTTTGTGGTAAGTGGCGGGTTCGGATCTTGATGGGGATACTGATTATTCCTACCTGCCACACAGGCGTTAGGCACAATAGATGCAGAGCGGAAGGGAATGAATAGCGGGAGAGAAGAAGAGGGAGAGGAGCGAACGGTGTGCGGTGTTCTTTCGCCCTCTCTCCATCTATCTGTTCCCCACTAACTGAACGCCCGGAACCGGCCTTGCTCGTGAAACGCAATGGAACGTAAGAAGAAAGAACTTACTTACATGTTTTTAAAATCAGTTATAATGATATTGTCCACTCAGACGCCCGTGGGTATCAGATCTACTGTTATGTTCATGGTGGATCAGGGTCGGTTTTCTTTTTTTCAAAATGGTTGAAATCCAAAACGATCGTTCACTTGCCTCCCTTTTTCCATAGGAAGCCAAACAGTGTTTAGATGAGCATACGCGTAAGATAAAAGAAGAAAATGGAGTGTTGCGTAAAGAACTTTTACAACTAATCAAACGAACACGAGCACTTCACGAACATCGCCGAGAATTAGAGGAACAACATAAGCGACTTCTTCGTGAACTGCAATACAGTAGGGATCTGAAAAAACTCAGGGGATCCAGGCAGAATAGACTCCATAAGAACTTTGGGATAAACGAAGAAATGGAGGAAAACAAGCAAACTTGATGAGATGGACAAGATGAGGCATCTTGCACTCTAAGCCTTACTTTTTATGCAGTTTGTATTGACCACTCCAGAAAATACCATAACATACCAAAATGCTCTTTGTTTGTCCCCCCAACAGTTTGCATAAGCATTGTTTTCAGTTTCTCTTGGGAGTTAAAATGGCCCCAAGAGAAACTCAAAACAATGCTTATGCAAAATTTTGGGGTGACAAACAGAGAGCATTATGGTATGTTATGGTATTTCTGGAGTGGTCAATTACGGGGTGTCCCAAAAGTTCGTTCCTCTAATTTCATACGCTATAACTTTTAATGAAAACTTCATTTTTACATGAAATTTCTAAAATATGTTTCTTACTCTATCGAGTACTTGTGTTCAGAAGTTCAGTTACCGGCATCCCCCCTTTGTTTTTTTGTCACACCTTGTAGCCGTTGCGGCATTAAGTGAGATAAGCCATGTAGCATGTAGAGCCCTATGATGATTCATTTTGAGCTTTTTTATCACCTAGTATGCAGGAGTCACTTCGTCCCCCAAACAATATAATTTTTTAGATAAGGCAGCTGAAACAATATATTTTGGGCATTGATCCAAGAAAAGATGATCATTCCGTCTCCTTTCCGCAGTAAGGCTTTTGTTCATCTTTACAAATTTGAGACGAGCTGAACGTTGCTTGGCGGACGGCTCTGGCCGGGAGTAAAGGTTTTTTTGCCATCTCAGGGGTCTCCAAACTTTGCTTTTCATGAACCTACTCCAGACTTAACATGCTAACTGTTGTAAGATCTACTTCGCTGGGTTTCCTGTTTTGTACATGGCCTTCTTTAAAACTATTTCAGCAGTTTTATTCAGGACTTTCGGTCTTCCCTCTCGTTTCTCGTCTGTAAAACCTTCGTTTCTTTATGACCATCTTACCACCCAACATTCGGATTTTTCCATTTTTTTAGGAATTTCTTTAACTGAAAAGCCATTAGATAGAAATACACGCTTCTGCTCGCACGTAGCTGAGTGTTTTTTTCGTTGAGAGGGTTTATCTTTCAGGACACAAAACAAGTTATTTGAAAGTTAAGAGCTCGAGCATTTCGGGCTACAGAATGCAAAAAATATATGGCGGGAAAATTTACTCGCGCAGCGCACCTTTGGCGCGAAATTACACAAATCGAATTTCGAGTCAAAAGATGGCACAAGAAGTATGAATATTAAATTAGATTGAAAGTCACAACTAAGGTTTAAATTATGTGCTGATCAAGTCCAATCGTACTGCGTTACAGACTTATAAAGGAGAGGAACGAACTTTTGGGACACCCTGTAGTCTCATTTGGGCCATTGAGAATGGCTGAGTTTCTTTTTGAGTGTCGCCAAGATAGTTGCCATAATTCATTAACTAAACACTAGCCTGTACACAGACGTTGTTTTATTTTCTTTTCGTTCTTTTCGAAAACATCGGCGAGCGCGGAGCGCAAGAAAGAAAAATAAAGAACTGTTTTCCTCCCCCACCCCTACCTCCTCGCGCTGGCGATCAATAAATCCCGCGCGGTTATTATTTTTTATCACGCGCACTCGACGGACTTTGAAGAGAAAATAGAGGGTCTGTGAACAGGCTAACTAAACACAGGCCCAAAGAAGAAGAAGAAGAGAATTCTGTACACCCTTTATACAGCACATGTATGTAGCGCACGATTTTTAACGTCATTTCTGCTTTAGACTGCAAAACAGTGAGGTTTTTCCTCAAAATCGGTTTAGCGTAGCATAAGAATAGCGTTAGAGTCGCTCCAGACCCTTTTTTTGACTGTTCGCGCGTACTTGAATAGGCCAAAATACGGACTGTTTTGCAGTCTATTTCTGCTTTGAACAGGTGTAAAGCGTACAAGATAATTTTTTTTCCCGAACACTCATAGTGCTTCACTGGTCAAGTTAACGAGCGGTCATTTTTCTCCGTGCTTTGTTGATTATGTCCTATATAGGCATTTTTCACGGGACTTTGTTTGAGCCTTGGATGTATCTTTTTTAAAGAATTTGAAAACATTTTCCCGAAAGGATAAAAAAGCAAATAAATAAATATTATTTTCAAACGCAAACTTTGCCTCAATTTATTTAACTATGCTTGTTTCTGTGAAATCTTTTTTCTTCTAAAAGAGCAGACTGCTTCTTTTTCATACCCGACAGTCGGTTTCCAGCGAAGCGACGTGGTTCATTTTTGGGAACTAAAGGCTTTTATTGTAATTACAATGATAAAAATTTTGCAATATTAACAGATATATCCTAAATAAACAACACGGTCTACTACAAAACTATAACCACCTGATAAAAATACTGTCTACTACAACTACTTTAAAATTCATACTAAAACTAATCTTAAAATGTGCGCATTCCTCGCATTTACACTAAAATCATCTAACAAGACAGCATTCTTGTGAAAAGGGGTTCTAGACCCTCGAACAGGTGTGGACTGATCTTAGAATTTCAAAAGATTTGCGTGTTCTAAGCCAAGATATGGCACTGGAATAAGACTCGCCGTTCTTTTGGGAAAGTTTGTCCCCTAGGCTGCTCAGGTCAAGTTTGTATTTTTTCCCCATCCCCCCGGTTCGTCCAAAAACCAGGGGGGTAAACGATTTCCACGTCAATAACTCTTTGTTGGTACTTCCTTTTCATCTGTTTCTCATGCTCCGCGGAGATCGATGGTTAGAGGTTGAGTTCAGATGCGTAACAAGTACATCGAAGAATGCTGCTTCTCCTCGTGACCAGAAACTTCCTGCCTTTATGTCTAGTCTAACCTTAAGGCTTGTGACTGTGGATCTGGATCTGGAGGTGGAGCTCTACCTCGACATTCTTGCAGACTTGGCTGAGCAGAGACGTGAGAAGGTTTCGGATGCCATCGTGTCTTTGTGCAACAAAACCCCCCTTCGTACACGACAGGGCGTGCCTGACTGTGAATCGATCTCCAATCTCGACACGGGCAATGGCTCGGCAAGTCTGCTAGTTGCAGATTTTAACGCAAGCTTAGCGAGTCCCTGAATTGTTGCTTATTCAATGTCAGGCCCTGCTCCTCAAAGGGTACGGCGTTAAGCCACGAGCTTACACCCTTGTCTGTGGCCTTCATTGTTGACCTTGGGAAGTCCGGTGAGAGAGATGCATCAATGGCCTCTCTTCTAAAATTCGCTGCCCTCGTCTTGAGCGACTGCTGTTGTCGTTTCAGGTCTTCCACAATTTGCTCACCCACTGGCATGAAAGTGCCCTGCGTTCGTATAGTTCCTGCATACGGTACTGTTATTAACTTTGAAGCAGCGTATTGCTGTGGGGCTTCAGGTTTCAGGTCTGGTATACCCAGAACCCCATGTGCTGGCGGTAGGGTGAATAGTTCTCGCAACTCATTAGGGAGCGGTTCCGTCTGACCAAAGATTCATTGGTGGAGAGGGAAGCGCGCAGACAGCAAGCTGGATTGTAAAGAGTAAAGCGTTGTTTTTCCTCGGCCCGTCTTCGCAGTAGAAGGGTCAAAAATAATGTGGCAACTTATGGTAAAAAAAATCACTAAGTTTTTAAAAAATAACTATTAAGTCAGAGATACTGCATGCTCCAATTGTTAGCTTCATTAATGATAAGGGATTGACGTGCTTCATGTCAGTCTTTTGAACCCAAAAGTAGGCAAAGAATTTTACAACTTTATACTTACATCATTTCATAGACATCAATAATCAATAATCAAAAATTGTCCTAAGCACGTCGGTTATAATAAATCTTCGTTCGAATTTGGTTCGAGATGTTGTTATTAAAGGCCAAGAGACTCTTACGCTTATTGCAGTTTCATACGGTTTAAAAAAAATGTGCGTACCTCTGAAAAATTCCAAACCGGGAACTCTAAAAGGTCGCTTCAAAACAACAGGTTATTGTTCCAATGACGGATCTGCAGCTTTTGAATAGCAATAGCATTTTCTTTAATGTCCGGATGAGTTGACCGCGATCGATTAAATAGACTTTTTGTTATTCGTACATATTATTCCCGCGCTCCTCCCCGCCGGTAAATTCAGTACACAAGCGATGGAGTCATGGTATTAGCAGGTTTCTCAATAACCCTTAGTGACCCCTCTTTACTTGGACTCCTGGTACACCTGTCGAAATGCCTCCTGAAATTACACTCTTGTGGATTAAACTCATTCCTTCACTCTAGTACTAAGACAATGACAGCAGGAATTAGAGCTGACTTTATTTTTTTTCTTGTTTTTATGATAAATATGTCGCTGGCGACGCACATGAATATATTTAGAGAACAATTTGATAATGAAGACGACGAGAAGACACAAAGGCCCATCATAGGTGAGTGTGGTGTTGGCTTATTAACCGATTTGTGGCTTACAAGTTTACTGTTTGATTAAAAATTATAAATTTATTAACTGGAGCTACACTTTTAGCCCTAGCTAAATCTTTATATTATTGTTATTTACTTCTTTTATCTTTCTTTTTAACCTTCGCGGAATTTGAAACCGACGGCACAAATTTTTAACACTTGAAAATGATGCCTTCACAAGAGTTATGGTTGTCAGTTGAACCCGACCGGGACCAGTTGGTCCCGATTTAATTTCAGCATTTAAGTGGTTTGGAACTCAAGAATACGTCAAAAAATAGCAAAAAGCCGTTATGGTTCGATGGCAACACTGTCCAAACGTAACAAGTCGATTTGATATTATTGTCTAATATAAACGGCTTTTTGTTTTAAAAAAGTGCGAGCTCGTAGCTCGATCGACGGATCGAACGTTTCCTAAGTGTTCTTTTTCCCTCATTATATGTAAACTATACATTATGTGAGAGTTGTATGGAGCGGCGGATGATCATGCGAATTGAACAATTCTTCAATGAGCTACGTGAGTCATATTGAGTGTATCATCTTTACACAGGGGCGGATCTAGGGGGAGGGTGCAGGGGGTGCGCACCCCCCCCCTTCCTGAGATGACCTGTGGTTTTGTAATACAACTGGTATTCTGCAAAAAAAAACACTATGTGGTTTATTGGTGTTGAAGCAGAGCAAGAGACGAGTGCACCCCCTCCTAAAAAAAATCCTGGATCCGCCCCTGTTACAGGTGATATTTTGTCAGCTATGAAATAGCAGCACACTTGGATAATCGTAACGACACAGACATTTCAGTGGTCGTATTAACAAAGTGGCTGGACAGAGAACAAAGAGACCAAGTCTCTCTTTTAATTCAGTTGCTTTCAGTTTAACAGTCAAAATAACAATAATCGCACTCTTTCAAAGGAAATAAGAATAACAGTTACCATTGATTTAATTAAGCTCATCAGAGCTACACAGAGCCACAAAGCCACACAGTACTGAATTAAATCTAAAAGTAGTGATTAAGTGGGCTGGACACTGAAGTACCCGCCATCAATTTGTCCTTGCACGGCAAGAGATTCGCCGTCGATCATGCAATGTCGGGTATGAAAGGCGGATTTGTCCATAGGAGGCATGACGAAGTGCGAGACCTGTTCACATCCCTTCTCAAGGACGTATGCCATAATGTTGAGGTTGAGCCACACATTCGATTCAGACCTTCACAGGAGAAGTTTTAACCCGCAGTGCCTACCCCTTTGATAAAGCTCGCTTGGATATCAGTGCGCTCGGTTTTTGGCAAAGGGGGCAACGTGCATTTTTCGATGTCAGGGTTTTTAACCCTTTCGCAAAGAGCCACCCAAAGTCCTCAACCAGAAACTTGACTCGGCTTTCGCGAGCAATGAGAATGAGGAAAAGTGACACTGCAACCGGCGAAATATTGAAGTGGAGCATGGCTCCTTCAGCTCTCTCGTGTTCTCACCGTATGGAGGAAATTGTAGAGAAGCCGAACGATTTCTCACTGAACTAGCCCTGAAGCTATCCGAGAAGGAGCGAATGGAGTATAGCATAGTAATTCATTGGCTGAGAGCAAAACTATCGTTTAATTTAAGAAAAATAGGACAGCTGGTCTGAGCCAATCAAATGCCAGAAAATACAATAGGCAATGCAAACTAGCCAATCAGCGCGAAGTCCCTGCGACAACGCGCCAAAAAAAAGTTTTGTTGGCTGACGGCGGTTCGTCACGGCGAACACTCTTGGCTTCTTGTTGCTGTGAATGTCGTTTTGTTTTGCTGCTGTTTTGTTTTGGCTTCTTGTCTGGGCCATTTAAAAGGAAAATGTATGACCAAACTGATGAAAGTTTGTATCAGAAACAATCAAAGCATAGATTCTTGAAAATGTGCAAACATTGAAACTTTGGACAAGGATAAGAAAACACTGATAACTGTTTTTAGATGTTGGCCGCATTACAAACGCAAACGGACAAAGTCTTCGGAGCCGTTTGAGGCAATGAATTTCTTGCTTGCCCGCCTCTCTTAGGATTTTCGAACATCTAAAAAATGGTATGATTGGCCATTTTTAACGAATTTTAACCCTAAAAAAGGCCATCTAGAATTTTCGAGAGCCTTTTTTCTAGCTGAAATTTTCGCAAAGTTAAGTTTTGATCCCTTTTAATTTTCGCATCACTGGACATTCAGCTAGGAAATCCAAACAAAATTTTAGGGAATAAAAATATGCCTATATCCATCGTTTAAATACTAAGATACGTTTATCAATGCTATGTTTAAGTGGTTTTGCACTATGTTCTCGTTGGGTGCCCCTGATATTATTGTCACTCTGATACAGGTACAGTGAAACCTGTATTAAGCGGACACCCTCGGGGAATGCTGTACAGGTTTCGATAGATAACGTCATATGAGGTGTCAAATGCCATTTAAATGAACAGTGGAAAGGTTAAGAATACTCCCAGAGATTTTGACGATATACGTTTGCATTAATTTCCTTATCAAAGTGGACCAGTTGATCATAATACCATAAACATAGATTGCAACTCAAATTTGAAGAAATCAGATGAGTGAAACAAGCTCTATACAAACAAAATGAAATAAAACAATACTGTACCGTGAAACTAATCAAGTATGTTCGTCAAGTCACATTTTTTAATGTAAAATTTGTGGGTGGCAGTTCGAGTCAATCTTCGCATTTCCGGTGACTGGCATGTTGGGTGGTGGCATTTGATTATTAATACAGGTTGGCAACAATAGAAATGACCATTTCAGGTACTTTGTAGGTGTCCGCGTCCGCTTAATAGAGGTGTCCGCTTACTAAAGGTTTCATTTAAAGCAAATAAGGGAAATAAATTTTGGGACTTCGGCTACTGTCCGCTTAATACGGTGTCCGCTTAATGCAGGTTTCACTGTACTTCAAAGACCAACTACCAGCATCTTCTTTTAGTTAATTCATCATCAGAAAAGTTCGAAAAGTGTTGCTGCACTTATCGTCTGATGATTTGGGATCAAGTTCATCTTCTCTGAAAAAAAGTAAATAAATAAAGGAAATGTCAATATTTCATTGCCTTGTTATTGATTCAACAAGAAGCAAAGAAAAAAACCACAGCAAACCCAAACCTATACCCTTGTGTACCTCGTTGAGGATAATCCCAAAACCAACTTAAAATACAGAATATTATAATCGATTTGTCGATCCTTTGAATTGCAAGTTTGATTGTACAGTAGCTGAACACAGCAAAGAGAAAACTTCATAGCATTTTTAGATCAATTTGAAATTTCTAATGTAAATGTTGGATCGATCAAAATGGAGTTTTGCAAGATCGAAATTCGATAGTAAGCAATCGCCCATTTTTTAAAAAGCTATAAGCTTACACAGTCTGAAGCTTACATATAATTTTTGATTTAATTTAACAATGAGATGTTCTTGATCGATCAAAATCATGTCGATTTTAGCGTCCAACAACTCTACGTGTTTTACAAACCTGCCGCTTCCGTGCGAGCTCGATACAAGTTAATCCTTAAGTCAAAGAATATTTCTTTCCCTCGATATAGTAAGTTTCCGTTTTTATACCGAGACTGCCGGGAAGCACGACACTTGGACAAAGCACAAACTTCGGCGATGAACAGTCAGATTTGTCCGGGGGGTACTTAAGGAATTTCTGGGTGGGGATGTGCCGCTGAGATCCTGGAACCCTTAACCTATACCAGAGCTAGTTCAGCTAAATTTTGCTACCCTATCTTAAAGTAAACTCCCTAAATCCCCCCTATCCTAGAGTAGCTGTTTCCATAGTCTAGATAAAATCTTTAACCAACTGATCGCTTTCCTGAAAGATGATACCCTATTCTAGATCCAAACTCTCTGATTTATATACCCTATCCTAGAGTAAACTGCTTGAAAACCATACCCTTCACGTGGACGTGTTTATACAGATGGAACAGCCAAGTTGTACAATTTAGCACAAAAACGGTCCATACGTTTTAGGAAACTGCTTCTTCCTTACACCACGGTACACGCTTACTCGCCAAAAGAAAGCCCAATAGTGTTTCTTCAACTGCTATATAAATTCTCGAGACTTGCACTAAACACAAAAAGTGAAATTTATCCACCTTTTTAGAATGTCTTCTTTTCGAAACTAGGGATCGCAACGCCGATCTCGATTAAACGGATCGAGCCACTGTGTTTGTTGACAGTGCTAGGATGGATTATCCTCTAGAAAACAAATATTACTAAACATTTCGACCAAACTAATTGTCAATCTGTCATAGAGGCAACAAAACCACAATGTTAACGCTATCGACTGGAAAAAGCTGCCTTTTGTTCTCGACAACATGTCAAGGGGAGTTTGCCTCTGAGCCAATGAATTTTCCCGAAATCGATCACGTGATATTTCGCCAGTAGAGGCACGCGCTTTAAAGAGCAGAGGTCGATTCGACGACGAAGGAAAAATCCAGGCCATTTTATAACCCGTCTCTTCATGGAAGGAAGGCCGGGTAAAATACGCTAGAACATGCAGAAAATGAAACTATAGAACCTTAGAAAGGCGCTAATGAAGATGAAACAGCAAAAGAAACGCTAACGATGGGGCGAAAACTGACAGAAATTTAAACTTATCAGAAATTTAAATGTTTTTTGTTATAATGATGATCCAACTCAATTTTTCGTATTTTTTAAAATCAACGATTAAAAAAAACTTGACGTTTCGATGGCTTAATCGAGCTTCATGTCATCATCTTTAAAAAGCTAAGAAATTAACATGATTTTATGGATATACATAACACATGTACACTTGATTTCAGCTAATGCAGAACTGCTGTCAGAGTGCTCAATACAAGAACTAGAGCGAGAATACCAGAAAAGTACAATAACTAAAGACTTTTTTGAAGGCATTTATTAATATATATATTAATAGCACTCTTCAGATAAAATAGCCAACTGAATTTTTATAGTGCAGTTACTATAGATACAACGCATTAACTTCCGAATCACCTGGAAGATTTTGAAGCAGGCTATCGCCTACAGTTCCTTCTCCAAACGGTGCAATTTAAGTCTGTGCATGGGAGAAGTATTTTATAATCTGTAAGCCCCATCTAGCCACCCTTAACAAGCGCAACTAGCTTCTATCTTCGTGTAGACACGCTAGCAAATTTCTGTTGAAAAGTTTCAAGTCCTTTTTTGTTACAATAGAATCCATAGAAACAGCTTTGTATATCTAGCCGGATTTTTGATAACGTTATGGCCCAATGGACCTTTTGTGTCAAACAGTTTTTTCTCCAAAGTAGCTATTTATACAAACTAAGAGTGCAACCATTGCATTTTTCTCTTCTCCTCCTTTCCTTCTCCTCGCTCTTTCTTTTTCTCCTTTCCTTTTCCTTCGTTACTATGATTTTGGAGCTTCTCGGGCTTACGAAACTTGCCTTTTGATGCTTTTTCACTCAAATGACTGAAAATTTCGTTAGGTTGGTTTTCAAAAAATCGGCTAGATATATAGTAACAAGATTCTAGAATTTCAGTTATAATATAATCAGCGTACTGTTGCAATCTATTATTAGGCTATTCTATCTGAAGAGTGTTACATGTATACCATCGTGTAGTACGAAACTATAATTATAGAAATAAAATCCCTAGTCAAATCTTCAGTTGATAAACATTGTACCTCTGCTGTTTTTTTTTTTTTTTAAATGGGCTATCCCAAATACAATCCAAAATAACAGTGCTCAAAGAAAAGAAGTCCTACAACTGCAAAACCTTGACACCAGACGGTCTGAACCGAAGGAATGAACATTGAACTCTTTCTATTTCTATTTTTATTGTATAATCATTTTCCTGTATATTACTCTATCTAGCATTTAAAATTGTAGTTAATCATTAACCACTTATGTGAATTTTAAATTCAAATTTTAGGAGCCGTTAAATGATATTTTCTCTCGGTATAGCTCTAGCCCTGAGAAAGGCTAAGTTTTTTAGCCAAAATATTGGCCTATAATAAATCAGCCCTTTGTCGTAGTGCCAACCCTGCATTCAGTTTTGTTTTTGTACCAATTTAACTGCTTGCTAACTTGGACCCGGTCCCCGGGAACTTGGAACATTAGCAAAAGAGCACGGTTTCATTGCTTGCATGCAAACTGCACAAAACTCTTCCTTCCTCGGGTAACACATGAAACTTTAAAACAACCCCACCCCCCTGAAATTTAACCAGGCTACTCCGAATGCATACCAGCTGATAGCCCTACTGTGCAACAAGCTGACACCCAGCTAGACACAAGCCTTCCCTCACTCCCCCCTTCAATTTAAAGGAGACACTGAGCTTTGAAAAACAGGGATAAGCCCAGGTGGAAATTTTAGCAAATCCACAGTCCAGCACAAACCAGGCTCTTTAGAACATCCCCATCCCCCTGGAATTTAACCAGGCTGCCCCAAATGCATACCACCTGATAGCCCTATGTATGTGCAACAGGCTGAAACCCACCTAGATGGAAGCTCCCTTCAAAAAAGTTAGCTGGCTCAACGGGTGCAACAGGCTGTTGCCCCTCTCGAGCATTTTTTCTGGAATTTCCACTGATTTCTGTCAATTCCAGGAAGTTATTTGGAGCCCATGGTCCCCGGCAAGGGCTGAGTGTGGTTAGTCCTGAGGAAGGACCGGGATTTTAATTTTTACACTAAAAGCATCCCGGCTTTAAGCAAATTATGCTTTGAAAGATTGCCTGCAACGTGTTGGACTTGACTTCAGATTTCAGGCAACCTGGTTTGTCCAACTCTAGGCCCCGGTTGTTCAAACGTTGGATAGCGCCATCCACAGGATAAATCACTATCCAGCGGATTAGTATTACGGAAATCAATTATGCTATCCGCTGGATTGTGATTTATCCGTTGGATAGAGCTATTCAACGTTTGAACAACCGGGGCCAGGTAGATAAATATATACTGTAAAGGAAAGTGTGAAAAAGTCCATTTAGAGTTATACGTGAAAAAGGAAAAATGACAGTTTGAGAGTTTTTCTTGGATGGAGGTCCGCTTGACTGTTGAGTGTAGGTCTTTGGTGTCTGGTGATTAGTATTTCAAATATCAAACACTCATTTTTTACGCGGGGGTGTAGCTGTCTTCAAGCCATTAAGCCCGGGCTTAACAAAAATTAGGGTCGACATGTTATCGCATATTAAGTGGGCGTGAAAATTAACCTAAACGCTCACTAATGTCTGTCGAAAATGGGCACATAATTCACAAGGAGAGTCTATCGCTAAACTCTATCTTGGGTTTCCAAGCAGATACGTTGTAGGGCTGGGGTCTGTGCATTCTTTTTTCGGAATAGCGTCAATCGAACGCACCTTACAAAAATAAAATCTAGTGGACAGTTTTCTCTATGAAGGATTTCATCCTTTTTAAGTACAAATGTTCCGTTAAGAATTTACAAACAAACCATTTTATCTAAGTTTGATAAGGGTTTATATTTTGGGGAGGCTGTGGTAAACAGAATGCTGATGGTGCTGGGAACCCGACAAATGCTTCAGAAACTAACTGTAAAGGAGGTTTCTCTGGCCTCTGCACGAGACCTGGGACTTCAAGTAGACTCCATCCTTAGAATTGATGAACGTATCACAAACATTGTCTCGTCATGTTTAGGTAGATTATGTCAGATATTAAAATAGAGTGAGACATCTTCTCGACACCAGGACACTGCAGAATGTTATAAATGCGCTGGTATTTAGCAGACTATACTATTGTTCTCCAGTATGGCCTATCCCATCTAAGCTGCAAAAAATCCAGAATTTCGTAGCATGAATCATTACTAATACACGTAAATCTAACCTTATGACACCGGCTCTCAAGTAGTCAGTTAGCCTGGCTCCCTGTAAGCAGTTCTTTGGCGTATACATTCCAGTGGTTGTAACGAGATCTGCTGTTCATGATGTTATTATTATCATTATTATTATTAAAGAGAGCGTTCCTGAATTGAAACGCGCAAAATGTAAAAAAAAAGTTTGGCTGATTTAACATAGGTCATTCAAAAACGTTTAACTTTGTTCTTTCACCAATTTAATCAGCCAAAAGTTCAGTGACTCAGCGGGAATATTGGCTACGGCAGTGTCCAAGCATTGCACTCAAGACTTGTCAGTTGTGAAGACGCAAGGCTCGAGTACTGCATTTTTGTTTTCCTACCATTCGGTCATTCCAGAAAAAAATTTTCCAAGACTACTGCACGTGTTGACTTTGGGGTAGCATTTCCGATTAACTTCTTCTCTTCCTCGTCATTTTTAGGCCTCCGAAAAGCTCTGGAACAGGACGCCATGTCCTCTTCGGTTAGTGTCTTTCGTGGAAGAAAAGTTCCAAACGCGTGTGAGATTTGATTTTCTTACAAGTCTAATTTCACATATAATATTTTTTTCCTAATTTCCAACGTTCACAAAAGCATCATTGTTATCAACTCCATTGTGACGCGCTATTCCAGGAATGTCTTTGACGACGTTCAATAAACGTGTAGAGCGTGTTTTATCGGGTTTAAAATCACTCGCCTTCGGCTCGTGATTTTAAACTCGATAAAACACTGCTGCTCGTTTATTAATCATAACTTACGCTTATATTTTCAAGGCGTCCTCACTCAAGAAACGGATCGAAATGTTACCATTTTTGGAAGACAGTATGTTGCAGCTTCCTATGTTAAGTTTATAGAGTCTGCGGGAGGAAGAATGGTACCTATTTTGTATCCTTTGCAAATATTATATTTCGCAGTTTTATACCATATTTATTATACATTATAAATATTATATTTTGCAACTATATATTATTATTATCATCATCATCATCTTAAACTATAACAAAATTCTCTAACCTGATTGGCTGTCGGCAGCCTTGCTTTCAGCATCACGAGGTGTATAAATAGGACAGTACTCGTCATACCTAAAGTAATTGGACAGTGTGCGTCATCTCGCGCGCGCACTTGGATCTCTTCTTTCTTCCTTTTTTTTCCCCACTTATAGCAGGAAACAAAAAACTCTCTCTCTTTTAATTTTAAGAAAGCTTAAACTATCACAAATTTTGTTAAAGTTATTAAAAAGTTGCCACAGAAATCTAATGTACATGTATAAGACTCTAGAATTTGACGTGGTGGGCGAACGTCCCGCTAAAAAGTCTATCTAGATCAGCTGATCAGTATACTTAAAAGAGTAAGAACATTGCCTCACCTCAAATCGCAGCCCATATTTTCTGAACTTTCCTAAATGGAACGGCGCGGACCATTTGATTTTCCAACCAGAATCTCCGGTTTTCCCATGTAAATGGTTAGTATCCTTGATATAGACCAATCCATTCTAGCTTGTTACAAAATCGGTCAGTGTAAAACGCAGACTGCGGACTATTGTTTTCACCATGCAAATGAGAACGTGACAACAATAGTCCCATTGTTTTCTAACCCTAAAAACAGTAGTCCGGGGTCAGTCCGAAGTCTGCATTTTACACTGCCCCGTTACAAAATAGGGACGGACTGGACCTTTTCAAAGCAAGTCATTTATAATGTACCCTCTTGCTTCAGTTTGCTGGGCTATGAGGCTTAGAGTCTGGTTGCCGACACACAGAGTCGAGCGGACGTTTTACTGACCCTCTACGGCGTAGATATTGACGGTATTAACGTGCTGCTAAAAGAAGATCGTTAATAAATGAGCGAAACAGAATGGTGCCCAGTATGCTCCCTTGGGGTACACCGGGATCCGGCTATGTGCATACTGTGCGCGTTCACTTATAGATACAGCTGTACTTGAGTAGTTAGTCAAATTTGATTGATGATAGTCCACACAGGTTCAGTTTCGTTAAAGGCAGACCATGGTCTAAAAATAATTTCTTTATACTGATAATCATCAACCCGGACGCTCTTTTTGTATCCAAGGTAAGGTGCAACAAATCAACTAGACGAATAAGGCTGTAATTCTCTTATACTTAACATTGAACTGAAATGTCAGTAATTAAAACAGTTTTAATTCTTAGCTATTTACTACAGCATAAATGCTTCCGATGAAGAGGTTGAAAAACTTTTTAACAACATAAATGGGTGAGTACTAGACAAAAAGGTAATTAAACTGAATATGGTACTTGCTTAGTTTTACGAAGACCATAAGTTTCAGGAAGGGATTTGCTTCAATTGAGTTTCCTAAACCTCAAACCGTTTCTTTTTGAATCTCTGATTTAACTTTTTAGAGCCATTTTCCCTGGAGGGCATAGACTTCTGCATCGCACAAATTATACAAGAGTAGGGAAAAAGATATTTGATCTGGCTATAAAGGTACGCTTTAGGAAAACATCATCACGTATTCCAACTCAACCTTGTCCCTAAACGCTTTTTTTCTTCCTGCCTCAGTAGGGAGCTTAAGCAACAACGACGGCTTCGGCTACGAAAACGTCACTTAAAAAGTGAATTCGGGCGAGAAAGACAAGAGTATCTGCCCGAGAGACCCATGAAAATTGTTCTTACTTGCTTTCTTAGAGTGCGGAAAATTCCTATTGGTTAAGAGGCTCCCGAGGAGATAAGTGTTCGCGTTAGGCGAGAAAACTGTCAATCAAAGAAAACACGAGATCGTTTGCAAACATGTAGTACTGTACATGGACAAGACAATGAAGGTATTATATTACACCATTAAATGATATAATCGAAGATCAGTTCTTTCAGCTCACTTCAATGGGACTTTATGACTGTAATCTTAAAGAACAGTTGGAGTGTTCAAATGGTATTTACAAAGTAAATACGTATTTATAGCAGAAGCGGCTGCGGACAAAAGATTTTTCGAAACGTTGAAATAAAGATCAGAGGAAATATTCGTTGTTCAAAACGAACTTGGCGGCTTGCATTGTCGGTGGAACGCATACCATAAAGACCTGGACCCGGGGACCTCGACAGGATTGACGGAATGAAACACTTACCAGGGGCATTAAAAACTTTTGGCTATTGTTATCATTTGCACGAAGACGTTTTTATAGGCTACAGTAACGAGACATTAACATCAGTCGTCAGGTCGCATTCCAGTCTGAATGATATCATAATCAATAAGAAAAGGTTTTTTGAAAACAAGCCCCTAGTTTTTTTTTTCCTTCATCAATCCTGTCCAGGTCTTGATGTGTGCGTTCCATCGACAATGCAAGCCGTTCTGAAAGAACAAAGAATATTTCTTCTGATCTTGATTTCAACGATTCGACAAATCTTTTGTCTGCCACCGCTTCTGGGTATTTGATGTTAAATCGCTCCTTTGAACACTCCAACTTTTCTTTGAGATTACAGCGACATTGTCCCATTGAATTAGTGACCTCCAAGATCTGATCTTCGATTATAACACTTAGTGGTGTAATACATGACCTTCACTGCCTTGTCCATGTACAGTACTACATGTTTATAACAAGCTTGTGTTTTCTTTGATTGACGGTTTTCTCGCCTAACGCGAACACTTATCCCTCGGGAGCCTCTTAACCAATAGGAATTTTCCGCACTCTCAGAAAGCGAATTAAAACGGTTTTCATGGGCCTCTCGGGCAGGCCCTCCCACTTCCCTCACGTGTCTCCCTCGCGCGTCCCGTTCTTTCTTGCGCCCATTGCTTCCAAGCCCCTGCTACGCAGGCTAGCGATGACTGTTTTCGTAAGGGTAAAATGGGTCTGTTGATTGTGTTTTTAGCCAGTTTATGGCGTTTTGCGCCTGACTACTGTAGCACTCCTACTAATGCGTAATCTAAATTCCTTTGAAGGCTTTTGACAAAGGTGACGTGTTTCCCATCTGGGCAGAATGCCTTGGTCTTGAACTGGTTTCAATCTTAGTTGGCAAAGGAAATATGCAATTAGGACAACTTGACACCAAGTTGTTCTCTCCAGTCGATGCAGCGAACATCAGCCTTCCTCTCATTTTCCCCAAAGGTATGTTTAGGTATAACAAGGTACATCCCTTATAGGAACCACCTAAAGTTGCGGTTAGAGAGCGAGGGAAGGAGGGCAACGTTATCTTTACAGCATTTGCTGGTTACATCAGTTATATTGGGAAAGTTAGATGTCAAGCAATGCTCGAGAACAGAAAGCAAACATCTTTAAAGGCCAGGATTGTTCGCTTTTTAAAATCATGTATTTTTACGGCGGTTATTTTACATTAAAACAAAACTGAGCACTTAATTTGAGTGCCAAGGTGTTTAGCACAAAAATACTAATTGGAGACACCATTTTTACGTCTCCAACTACAGACGGGACTTCCATTTTACAAGGTCATCCGAACCACGCGAAGGTCTAGCCGCTTGCAGTGTATGAGAAGTATATTCATTTCTCAGTTATTTTAACACCCTGAGTATTGGTCCGACCCAGGAAATCGAACTCGCGACCTTCCACTCTACAGTCAAGCGCTCCACCGACTGAGCTAATCCTGCCGCGGTTAATAAATTGAATTGTTTCAACCTCCTTTGGGACACTTCGCTGATGTCAATTTAGTTAGAACCTTTACGGATGAGCTTCACCTATCCGAGCCGTCGTTTGTCGGTTCTGGATTTTTTTTTTACTGAAAATCACACTGTATGACAGCAGACGCCTGATACCGGGACGTTGATATGGAGAGATGGATTTGCTGGGTTTACTAGGCCTACAGGGGGGCGGAATAAAACGAAAGTAATGCAATTTTAGCCTGCATCACTGATTAACAGCCGATGAGAAGACCCCCATTCAGTATCGTTGTGAGATGCGTTGACACGTTGAGAATAGTTTTGCCTCGTTTTAACTCTGTTGGGATAACTCGTGCAAAAACAACTTCCTTTACACGTTTTATAATCCCAGATGACTAGCAGGGTCTGATCTGATTTTCTCTTTAAGATACAGGTACGAATAAATAACGCGAATTTGCATCTCAAGGAACCTGTACTACTTTCGCTTTAACAAACCATGAATACATCCTCTCCTGATGTTTCTATTTACAGACTATAGCAGCGCTACCATGTGGGAAGATGCTCCACCTCATATTGTAAATTACCTACGGGGAAACGCAGTGTCATACAACAACCACAAAAAAGCAGTCACGCCCAAGGTGAAGAAAAATCTAATAAATGAATATACAACTTTACTTATCAAACTTCAATCGTTGTTTTTTCTGTTAGTAAGACAGTCTGTTTGACTAGTTTTAAAAAGGATCTAGTACAACCCTTTCACTCTACACATATTATTACTAACTTCTCCCTTTAAGAACTAGGGTTAGGGTCAAGAGATTTATCGTTTCATATTAGTATAGAACAACTCAGAGAGGATTAAAAAATGTGCAGACCTTTGCTCGCGGGAGAAAAGAATTTCATACCGTCCATTACGGAACAATAACTTCAGATGTAAGTTATATCAAGATCTCAAGTCAGGCACTTAATGCTATTCTTTCTTTCTTTTTTGATCCCAGATCTTTCACAAGAACAAATATTTAAAGGACTTTTTTAGGGTTGTTGCCACCAGCAAAGATAGAAATGGAGTCGAATTTATTACAAATATGGAAGGTATCCGTGCTGTGATTAGTGTAAACTGGTTTTAAAAACCTTGATCAATTTCATACCATCAATATTAAAAGAAGGACAAGTGTGACTAAGTGCGGCAAGCGTCCTAGGCGACTTGTTGCAGGAGTACTTTCAAGAAGCCTTTCAAGGAAAACTTTAACAAGAAACTAGACATAAACTCTAACCTTCTTTATCATATGAATGTTCTAATTTCCTTGAACATGTCTATCTCTTTGACCTGTACTGTGTGACCCAACGTATTCTGAAGGACAGACCGCTTTATAACAAAATTCTAACAATAAGGCCAATGAAGACAACTGTCTCGTTTTTTTTTTTTTTTTCTCTGACAGTGATACTTTTTCGAGCTAAAATAGTAAGCAAGACACTTATGTTATAGATGACTACAGAAACACCTAGAAATAGAGTAAAAATTGTGAAAGGCATGTGACATGGCTAACATCAAAGCTGACTCTTGGCAGGCAAGCGGTATCCAGTTTTCCTCTTTCACTGGCATCCTGCGAAGGCACAGTTTGAATGGCGAAGAGATTTGGACATCAAGCATACTTTTGATAATATCCTTGTAGGGCAATACTTTGCAAACTTCTTTATGAGACAAGGTAAATGAAAGAAACTGTATATTTTTGGTCTTTTCTATTGTGTGTTAAGATAGTCTTACAGGCATAATTCCTCTGATAGAGGTTAAGCTAAAGAACAGGTTTATGCCGCTAATACGGTAGGTATGGATTCCCCGCCCATATATATCCACACAAAAGCCATGCGAGTATCAGCGACGCTCGAACTACACTGACGTGTAATGGAACCTCTATCCTAAGAACGAATGGCGAATACGTAGAGCGCATCAAGGCCCAGTCCATACAGTCCATATACAGCTGATTCAACAAAGGTTGCTTTGGGCATTGGAATTGCGCATTGGGAAGCTATGGTTTGGTACCCTGGTCCCAGAGGTTTTTCTTGATTTTTCTTCGCGAAAGAGATCAACAGCAAGCCGCGAAGCGGCGACAAGGAGAGAGAGAAAAACCTCTGGTTACCTTGGCCTCGAATCTCACTTTCATGCAGGAAACAGGGTCAGGATCTGACCCTCGGGCGTTGATTGGTTGATAGTTTTCAAACACGCAAATCAATTTGATTGGCTCGTTTAATTGTAACTACCGAGGGGACGCTGAGGATTTTCACACCTCATTTTGCCTCTCTCTACTAGGGAAGAAAATTGTTTGTATGCTGCACTTGCAATAACATTTGCACCGGACCAAGGCACGTAAAGGCACGTAAAGGCACGCCATATTTCGAGATTTTGACATGGATGTTGTTCCTGAAAGAATATTCGAAGAAATTTTGACCTCGGTACTTAATGAGTGCTTTCCTGAGTCTCACTGAACAACAAAAGAAAGCTTTGTTTGCTGCGTTGAGTTGAAAGGATGTGTTCACCATTTTATCAAGCGGACATGGAAAGTATATTTTCTGTTACAATACTGTCATTCCATTAAATAAACTAACTTGTTTAGGGCAGCAAAATAAAAAATCTCCGCATACGGAATGAAAGTTTCCTTCTAGGAAAAAAAACATACAACTTTGTACAAGCACGTAATCATTTTCGGTGCAGCTTGATTTTCCTGCGACGCCCAAAAAAGATCTAACCAACGTTATTTTTGGCATAGACCTCTTCGGCTAACTCAATGTTGTACCCAATTCAAATCTCCCGGGGATAAGATTCTTTGTGTATTGCATTTGCATTATAATGTGGCATTCACATTTAAATGATATGGAAATTCCTGAAACAAAACGTTTTATTCCCAAAGGGTTTGAATTGGGTACAACATTGAGTTAGCCGAATAGGTCTATTGGGTCAACAAAAACCTCTGAAAGTACATTCCAAACATTAAGGGTTTGTTGTGCTGCATGACTCTTCCTAGCGTCGTTGTTCCACAAAAAAAGGAAATGGAGCCTCCAAACCAAAATGCGAGCCAGATTGCCAGAATACATATTAATATTACTATTTTGAAGGGAATGCCCGCAAATCGATGCGAACGGCGCGCCCCGCAGAAGTAAACAATGCAATAAGCGCGATTGATAGACTCTTGCAAACTTTACAACTTCCCGCTGGCACACTGACGACAGAACAGATGACAATGTTTGTGAAAAATCCTTGTTATTATACCCAAAAAAGTTGATTTTAGATCGGCCACTTACTTTTACATAAATTCTGCAAATCCTGCAGCAGTCGTTTGGAACAATGTGGGTTTCTATATAAAGTGGTCTTCTCATTCCTGGACTCTTGTCGCCCATCGTTAACACATGCTTTAGCTTGACCCCGATTAACAAATCACTCTTTACCACCCAAGTGGAGATGGTTTGTTCATAACATAATTCCCCCAGGTCTACCCCCACTTAAAAAAATAGCAGCTGATAAGCACGTGTTTGCTAAGTTGCCATTGGTCACTCCTTTTATTAGCAATTTGACGCGTTTGACAGCTGTCGTCTGCATGAAAGTGAGATTCGAGGCCAAGGTAACCAGAGGTTTTTCTCTCTCTCCTCGTCGCTTTGATCTCTTTCGCGAAGAAAAATCAAGAAAAACCTCTGGGACCAGGGTAATGGTTTGGTGGTCACTCAAGTAAATCATTGTATTGTTCCATATGGTCAAATGCCCAATGCACAATAGACCTCTTTAGCTTGTATTCATTGTTTTCCCAATAGAGGTCCTCGGGTAACTTGGCCCTTTGTCTTTTCATGAATTATGCGTACACATGCACGTGAATAAGACAAAATTTGAAAGAAAAAGTTCTCTAGAGTATTATCACATGACCTGTATCGAGAAAACAAAACTTACAAGCTAACGAGGTCTATTACCAATGACCAACTACCAAAGCAACCTTTTTTGATTTAGCTGTATACTGAACACATGTGAACAATACAAAAGATGTTTTGGGTGCATGACGGGAAGATAGTGGGGGGTGTCACGCACTATTACCATGCACACATAGATATACGCTAGTGTTATTCCATTTCAATACACGTTTCTTGAAAACTACCAGTGGCCCTGTTTAGTCGAATGACCTGAAACTCCAGCTAACCATCCTAACACTAACATGTATTTTATCCACAGCAAGACGGAGCAGTCATCATTTCTCAAATATCAACGATGAAAGAGCTGCCCTCATTTACAACTACCAAACAACTTATGTTGAGGACTACCTGCCTGTGATTCAAGCCTACTTCTTTTAGATGTACTGTCAAGTAAAATCCTGAGATAGACTGTATAAAGCTAGATTGTGAAACTGTCCACTTTACCATTCAAATTCCTGCTCTTCAGCAACAGAATTCCCGGGAAAAATTTGGTCATTAAGTAAGTCTGAGCGTTTAATTCCTCTCCTACCCAATGCCGTGTCCAATAAAATATATGGCCACATCATGATGGAGAATTATTCTGAAAGTCCTGTCAAACTTTTGCCTTTTTAGATTTGTGAGGACTTTCCCTTTCTTCTGTTTTTCGTTTTGATGCCGATCTTCTGTTAAATAACTCTGGTGCATACTTCTGTCCTATAGCGTGGGTCCAAAGGCCCAGTTCAATTTTGTGCTCATTCCATTCACCTTTTGGATCTGAGAAAAATACATTGCTTATAATTTAAGAAAGTGTGCAATGAAGTTTATATATTAAGAATCAACATTCGGATGAGAAAACAACCGTGGTGTTTTGCTACTGATATTTGCGCTGGAAAAATGAGGTCGGGATACTAATAAGGTAGTGTGGGGGCGGCCCGGGGGGGGACTCCCATATGAAACAGACGGGGATGCTCGTCAGAAATTTTGAATTTAACCCCTAAATGAGACCATCTGGGCGTGGCTCAAGCTTTTTGTGACCCCTAAAGGAGACCAATCTTGGCGTGGCTTAAGCAAATTTTGACCCCTAAAAGAGACCCTTAAAAACACACAAATACGACATGCAATGAGTTTTAATGATATAAAGACATAACAAACAAAGTTAAAAAGAAAATTGACTTCTGTTTCTCTTCGCGTAATTCTGTGTTTCTTCGCGGAACCCTAAACGACACCTTGGCGGCTTAAAATATTGGCGCTTTGCCCGGAACACCCTAAGCGAGACCAAAATCCGAAATTTATACCCCTAAGCGAGACGACGAGCATCCCCGTCTGTTTCATATGGGAGTCCCCCCCCCCGGGGGGGGCGGAGGGTAAACGTGGGTAAACAAGTTGTACTGAAGTTTAGTTTTGAAGCTGCAGTAACTCGGATTATTAATTTTTTTTAAATACAGTTACTTTCAATATTTGTAACTCAAGGAACTGTGTTCATGTACACATAACTTCCCTAGTTAATTTGCAGCAAATTCGCAAGACGAGATTGAAGTGACTCTGCCTAGTTTAAAATCGTCTGCAACTTCTCTTTCAGCATCTAGTTAAAAAATAGTCTGAATCTCAGCCATCACCTTAAGTCACATGCCAATAAGCAACTTAAGGAGGTGAAGGCTGAAATTCAAGCTACTAAAAAATCTGTAGTGTAGTGTGCAGGAAGGATATTACTGAATTACTTAGACATTGCAAAAAGTGTCAGTTACCTTCTTTGTGTAAGTGCTTAAGACAGCTTCTTATTTTCTCGATATAATCCAGATAGAACTTCAATGAATATTCTATCTTTCCAAACCCTGGAATGGCTTGTATTGATTCATCTGCCATGAATGGTACTTTGTGGCTGCCAGCACAAAGGATTGCTTAATGACAACGAAAAAAAGTACTATTTAAGGTGACTCGACCCAGTTTTTTTTGAGGGGGTACCATCCTACTTTGAAGCTCTCTGGTATCCCAACCTTTGCTTTTATCGTAAGTCTAACACATAGAATGGATAACATATAGATCAATCTACAATATAACATAAAATTTTTGGCGATCGGAGTAAATGTCGTATGGTTATAATACCCATGCTTTGGTCTGGGTGAAAATCTACATTGCCAGCATTTTAGTGAATTCTCTCGGCTACATATAGTAGCATTAGTGCCTTCAGCTGAACAGAGTTTCAAAATCATAAGACCCAGTTCAAGAAATTCAACAGTTTCCAAATTGGGGTCACAATTTATGCGAAAATGATAAGCAAACTTTACATGATTATATCTAATAAACTATGAGACTTATCCCTTTATTTTGGAGATCGTTATAACAGATGGGTCCTTGCAAGTCAGCAAAAGCTTTGGGGCCTTGTAAATGCGCTGCGATTTCAAGCAAAGCAAACATATAGAAATTATAGTTTTAGCTATTTGTTGACGTTTGTCAGCGTTTAAGAGTCCTTCTCACGAAAAAGGGATTTCTTAAAAAATTCGTAGTTTTTTTCCTTCAAATTTTTTTCAGGGCCACAATTGATTAACCAACTACACGGATTCTGAATTTCATGGTCATTGAAAAACTGTGACAAATAAATAAGCGTTTGGCTGAGTTTGTGCTTTTGGGAGTTGTCTATTGTTTCTAGTCTGTCATGACACAGCATTCTTGTTCAGCACGCGTGCAATGACCGCATTTTGGCTGACTTCTGAATGCTCACCAAGATATGATAATTTGGGTACACTGAGACAGGCCATCGTGATTATACATAAAGGTTTCACTCACAATTTTTAATCAATTCTCGTTCTTCTTGTGCCTTTGCAAAAAAAAAAAAGAAGAGCTACACACTAAATCTACTAACTATTAAAAAATATAATTTTTTCATAGGTTTAATGTAAGCCAATAATTAAACCAACTCGTGATGGGAATCCCTTCTATTTTCTCATACTAAATTATCATATCCCAGTGAGCATTCGAAGTCAGCCAATTGTCATTGCACGCGTGCTGAACAAGAATGCTGTATCACGACAGACTAGAAACAACAGGACAACTCCCAAAGCACAAACTCAGCCAAAACGTTAAAAATCTTCAATGTTTACTCAAGTTTGGGCTTATAGAGGATAATGTCACAGTTTTTCAATGACCATGAAATTCAGAGTCCGGGTAGTTAGTTAATCAATTGTGGCCCTGAAAAAAATTTGAAGGAAAAAAACTACGAATTTTAAAGAAAATGCTTTTCTTGTGAGAAGGACTCTTTTAAAAACGACAACAAACGTCAACAAATAGCGAAAACTATAATTTCTATATGTTTGCTTTGCTCGAAATCGTGCGCATTTACAAGGCCCTAAAGCGTTTTGCTGACTTGCAAGGACCCATCTGTTATAACGACCCCCAAAATAAAGGGAAGAATCTCATAGTTTATTAGATATAATCGAGTAAAGTTTGATTATCACTTTCGCATAAAATAATTATGACCTAAATTTGGAAACCGCTGAATTTCTTGAATTGGGTCTTTGCGATTTTGGTGAAACTCTGTTCAGCACAAGGCACTAATGCGCAATATATGTAGCTGAGAGATTTTCACCAAAAATGCCGGCAACAGCAGATTTTCAACTCAGACCTCAAAGGGGCGTCACCTTAAAATAAGAATCTCATGAGGGCCAAAAGTGAATAAAACATATAAACTATCTTGAAATATTCCTAAACTTCTAACTCTAACTTCTAACCATACATGTACTACCTCATGATTGCTTAAATATTATACACTTGCTGGAGGTTTGATATAAAACATCTAGCACTCAAAATAACAGCCAGTCATCAGACAATGTCTCGCCAAAATGACAAATTTTGTCCGGGACAAACTTTCAATAATTGGCTAGTCATTCTTACTGATCAGCAAGAAAATTTACTTGTCCCAGATGACCAGAGGGGCCTTTCTTGAGCCCTTGTCATGAGCACATTTTTCAAATAACTGTTTAATACCTGAAGCTGTTGCTGGTCCCACTGCTTTCAGCTTTGTCAATTCATTGATTGCCTGTTTAATGTCAGGTAAACACTTGAAGGCTTTACTTGTGACCTCCTTGACTGTTTCACTGTCATTTGTCTGCACAAGCTGAGTAAGACGAGGTCTGAACTTTCCACGCTGAGACAGTTAATGAACAGTGAGAGAAAAAGCTTAAACTTTTATTTGAATCATTTTTGTAGCTTAAATAATGAACCTCTAGTATATTATTATTATATGGCACCCTGCATACCCAAAAACGATAAAAAAATAAAATTAAGACCACCGAATTAAACCAACCCATACTTCAGTGAGATTTACTAACCCAGAGATATAACTGAGTTAAAATTGCAAGTGCACATGTTACAGCTCAAAATTAAATTAATTCTCTATTTCCTTTTTCTCCTAGCCCTAATTATTCCTGAATTTGGGCTAGGAGACAAAGGATATTGAGAATCAAACTAGGTTAAAAATTCTAACATAAATATAATTTTGACCTATAACACGTACATTTATAAGCAGGTGTGGGTGTTAGGTTTAGGGTTGGCATTCAAGAAAAAGGAAACCTAGTACACCTGCAAATTAAAAAAAAGTCACCTACAACCTAGAAAAACCCCTAGTGTTTTCTTTCAACTTACCATCAACTTCCATTCCATGAGTTTGATCAGTTCCTCCTGTGTCAGAAATTTCTCTGATCTCTTATTTATTTCTTGAGGCAACTGATTCTGAAACCTTTCAATAGTTACACTTAGTAGATATTTAACACTAAATAACAGTCATTGCCATGCTTTACAACCCCAAAACAAAGAATGAAGATCAAGAATACTCATTAGATTTAGACATTTGAAACTTACCGGTGCATGGTGCATTTAAATCAGCAACAGTACATGAAGGGAGTGCAAAATAGTCATATTAGTAAGATATGGTTCAGTCTGACAGGTTTTAAGAAATGCAACTTGCCTTTAAGAGGGGAATGATAATTATTTATACCATAATTATTACATATAGGTGGACATTATGGGTGGACCTATGATTGAGTGAAGAGTGTTTGGCTTCTTTGGTAATTGGTTGATTTTTGCTTGGACAGGTGCATTCTTGCAGTATAAAATTATCAAAATGATATAATCACCATCAAACAGTAAACTGACCTCTCATTTTCATAAGTATGGACAAATTCCACAATAACATAAAGAACAAACTTGAAAATTATGGATTGAAAAATAAAAGGATTCTTTTTAAAATGCCAAAAGTGGGAACTTATGATATCAATAAGTGCTGCCGATATCAAGTCCTTTGCATATTTATTATTCATTGATATTTTATTTTCTTTTGATTTACTGATTGAGTTTATATTTGTTTTGACGGGATTTAGTTGCCTTCCTTTTATTCCATAACCATTACTCATACCCTCCCCAGTGCTTTATTTTTCTTTTCTTAGGCCTCTAATCTCACCCCCCCCCCCACCCCCTTACCACTATGTCACTGTTAGCAGGGTCACAAATGTGTGAATCTGTTTTAAAGAAAAAAAAAAAACAAAAAGCAGTAGAGAAATAATCATTATCACCATAATGAAATGATTGAGAAGAATTTTCTTCTTTTTGTTTCCCAAGCTAAGAAGGATGAAATAGTGAAATATTTTAGAATTCTTTTTTCTATCACATGCCAAAGCAGACAAAAATACTTCCTCTAAATATATAAAACTTTTCCAAAATATATGACACTTGTTCTGTATATATATCAAACTTGGCTTGAATAATTGTTCCTTATTTTGAAACTTACTTCCAATAATACTACTTAAGACAAATATTCAAAACTTGCTTTCAATATTCGGTTTGACTACTCAGATAGGAAAATCATCTGCTGAATAATTAAGACTTGCATCGACTTTTAGTTTTGGCCATTTGCACTCTGCCAGACAGATATACACCCATTACAATAAAGTTTGCTTTGGGATTTGGTCAAAGTCGGCACTTTTCGCTTCTAGAAGGCTGTAACATATAGCCTAGTAGTAGCTCAACCAATCAGAACGCAGCATTGATAACAGGCCACTAGTTGGATTTTACTAAAAGAGGATAGGGGTGATTCAGGGTCCCATGTTATTGATGTTCTTTGCGGGGAGAGGCATGAGTAATGGTATGCCTGCCAACTTTTCTGAGATATAAGCGTGAGATTTTTATCCTGGGAGTGCTGGGATTTTGAAGACGACACGATCATTTCCGAAGATTCCCCGAAGAAGTCCGAAGTCTTCCGAAGACGTCCGAAGTCTGCCAAAAGCGAGCTCGCTCCAGTGCTTTTCACTTCAAAAATCAGAGATCGCGAGGAAGGTATTGCCATTTTTTTCATTTTACACAAGGTTTTCGTTCCTTACATGGGTCTGAGTTAACATATTTTTGGAAATTGTGTCAAGCAGGACGGCAACAACTCACATTTTTCAATCAGGCGTGAGAAATTGGCCCGCAGGCGTGAGCCGGCGTGAGATCGAAGTTTTCAACCCGCAGGCGTGAGACTCACGCCTAAGGCGTGAGAGTTGGCAGGTATATAATGGTTACGGGATTAATTCCGCTAGATAGTTTCCCCGTCACCCAAAACGTACCATTTACCTTATACAGCGGAACCTCGAAAAAACAAACCTCTAATTATGACGAAGGTCTCGGTATAAAG